GCTGTGTTTGAAGGAGCTCAGCAGGCCGATCATACGGCTGCTCTGCCATTCCACCATATCTGGCTGCATCTTCACGGCTTTCTGGAAGAGCTCTGCAGCCTGCAGCTTCTTCTCTTTGTCGAACTTCATCAGGGTCCAGATGATGGTGCAGCCAAGCCAGATTCCCATAGTTCACCGTCAGCCATGGACCTTCATCTGAGTGCTTCTGGTGTTGGAAGGTCTTAGTGGCCTGGGTGAAGAACTTCAGGGCCTCAGAGGAGGAGCCCAGCTTGAACTGGATGAACCCCCGCAGGTTGTAGATGTGACCCAGCCAGAAGTTTCCCTCATCTGTGCCGATGTCCTCCAGCTTATCTCTGATACGGAATAGTTTGCTCTGGTTGGTGTTCAGATCCCAGGTGAAGTGGCACTCCAGAACCTTCAGTCTGGACGTTAGACTCTGAGCAGAACTGATGGGAACATCACAAAACATTCAGTTAATTAGAGAGGATTTAAAATAACTGGCATTAAAAATACAACCAGAATGGACGGAGGAGCTGAAGTACGAGCAGGAAGTAACGAGGAGAACATGAGAAGAAAATACAAGTATGGAAATAAAAAAAATAAAAATAAGATAATGAAGATTAGATAAACATGATGCTACGCAAACTGATAGACAGGCTATAAAATATTTATCTTAGGAAGTTACTTTATCATTGTTCTGTTTTCAACTGAGCATGAAATTACTAGCGTTTTATATTCTCTCTGTACAAAAAACTGATAAGAGCAGAACAAAATAGATCAATCCCGCAGGAAGGTGGGTGGGGCTTAATGTCTCTCAATAGGATATGATTGGCCGCTTGTAGAGTTGCTCTACCTTACTTTTTTAGTAATTTTAAAGATAAAATTGTCAGGTTCACACAGGAATGTCAGTCCGTTAGCCTCACTTTTTTTGTTTTTTAGGGGGTCCGTTTTTCTAAGGCCCAATAGCACACCCTGGTGGCTCTCAGGGGGCCGCGGCCCCCAGTTTCTCAATCACAATCTAATACATGATTCAAATATTAAATATACCGTTAAAAGATAATATACACAGTTAAACAATATATATAATATAAATACATTTACAATTATACATACAAATTTTATTTATTGTATAAATTTATGTAAAAGGAATTTAAAAGGAATTTGTATTTACTTTATATTTGTTTATTAACACAGTTAAATAATCAGGTATTTTTAGGGGGTTGTCTGTTTGTAGCTGTGTTATTTTTGGCGTCATGCTCTAAAGGTAAAGGTTCCCAAACTTTATTTATTTGGTTTTGTGTATTTCTAAGCGATGTTTTGATATCTTTAAGCATAAAAATGCTTTATTTTGATCACATTTATTGTTTAGTTTAAAGATTCGTATGACCCCAGACTTGTTCATTCATCATTCTGACTTTGGTGATCTATGTTATTAGGATTGGTATGTTGTCGCAGGCTGGCTGTTTTGAACTTTTCTCAATTTTAGCTGAATTTGCCATATTTTTAATAACATTTTTGTTTATTTTCCTTTCTGAGATCCCCTTGTTTCTCTTTTGCCGCCCAGTTTAACTTTTAAAATCTCTTATTGTTTTATATTATTTGATCCTGCATGTAAGCTTCCTTATTTCTGCTGTTTTTATCCCACTGTCAGACCTGTTTCTCCACTGTTGGACCGTAAAGATATTTCCTAGAGCATGAGGGCTTTGGAAGAAACAGATTATATTTAAATAAAGAATCAGAGAGGTGCTGTGGGCTTCTGACAACCACTATAGGAGTCATTTTGGCTCCAATAGTGAAGGATTCCCTCTGAGACTTACTTATGGAGAGTGGAAGAGGAATCTCCCCATAGGCTGTAGGTCACCTTATAACTGCCATTATAAGGTGACCTATAATTAATTTTCTGATAGATCAATGTCATTAAATGACATGATGTATTTTATCTGAAAATTAAAATAGCAAAGAATATATGTAACATGTCCTCATCTCATCTGCTTGATGTGTTCTTATAACTTGACATCTACCTGAGAAAAATGTAGCAAGGTGAAATTATTAGTGAGTAAAATAGACATTTTAATCACTTTTCACATACTGAACTATTATAAAGTGGTGAAAAGAGAACCAATGAAAGAAAAGTAGAATCAATCTGATCTCACCTCATTTTCTCGCTGCCTTCTGTTCCTATGAAGCAGTTTGGTTTTCCTGGAGCGTCTGATGGTCGATAAGATGCGCGGCTGCAGACTGATCCTCTATGGCAAGCCAAGTAGGTCACATTTCGCATCAACGCCGTGACGTCACTTGTTGACTTTAGGGCGAACAATGGAGACAGACATAATGATTCACTCAGACGAAGTTTTAACTTTCGCTTTCCTGGGAACCGAATCTCGGAACCGAAACGAAACTATTGACCAATGAATTGTTCCTGCCATCAAATGAACAATCAGAGCGTTTGCTCTGGTTTTTATTTGTTTATCATTAAACTGATGAGGTGAAACAGTTTAATAATATTTTCAGCACTAATATCTCCTTTATTCACCTTAAACAGAGCAGATGTGACTGAACCCGGTCTGTCCCAGTGTGGAAACAGGAACAGTTCTGTCAGCATAATGTTTATCTCTTGAGTAATAATGATGATAAAACTCCCTAACAGCATCTAACACATTATGAATACGCCCTGCCTCTGTTAAACTACTGCTATAAACAAAAAGGCTATGAACATTTCATCCAGAAAATATAACAGGAATCTAAAACATTGAAGGGCATTTTACTGCCTTAGAAGTTTATTAATAAAAACCATATCATAAGTTAGAGGAACGACCAGAGGGTCATCATGTTTATCGTTTATTGTAATTACAGTTACTGTAGTCACAGCAACATTTGACACAAACCTAGGTTTCTATTTCATGCACAAAATGAGCATGAAATAGAAACATACCAACAGATTCTCCTTCCTCCTCATCATCATCAGCTTTTATCAACCTCCTGCAAGTGAGAACTGATGATTTAAGAAGCAGGAGCACCCAGTACTGGAATTAAAGGACCAGGAGGGATGGCATCCCCCTTTTTATGAAAATCTTAAAAATCATCCCCATTCTTAAATGACCATCCCCTCCCCATACCATCCCCTGTGACCTTTTATTACTGAATGTGTAAAATTTCTACTATATATTAACAGTAATTTGGTGGCTGAGGGCTTACAAGTAGCTTGAGCAAAATAAATCAAATCAAAGTAGTGGCCTACCATGGCTATGAAGCTGATCCCAGTGGGAAATAGGGGCAGTGATAGCCATGCCAGTCCAGGGACTGACTGCAGATCTACTGTAAGGTTCCTTGGTCAAGGTCATTGACATGTAACAACCAGGGGCGGATTTACCATTAGGCAATACTAGGCAGTTGCCTAGTGCCCCAAGTTCCTGGGGGCCCCATAAAACGTAAGGTTAATACAACTATTCATCATTTGTGCACATTAGTTACGTTTTTCATTTTTAAGAAATCCTTTCGCTAAAATGCCATCAGAACGCTTATAATATTAAGTGTGTCTCAGCCCCCGCTTCCGTCTCCACCATATTGGATCAGTCCAATTGCTGCACATGTTCAGAAAGGTCCAAACAGACAGCAGCAAACCATTTGAAAACAACTGATGCGAAGAGCTGGGTTGCCAACTTAACCCTTTTGTTGCTATATTTAGCGACTTTTCTGCCTCCTGCTCTCCTCTGTCTTGTCTGCTGTCATGATTCATGCAGCTATTATTTCATCCAAATTAAAAATGGAGAACAGATAAGCAGATCATGGCTTGTCTACAGTGAAAAGAAGGTCTGGGTTATTTACTTTTGCCATCAGATTATTTGGAAACACAGGAAGGAGCAATCAGCTAAGTGAGCTTAGTGCTTGGAAAAAAAATCTTTCATTCCTTTAGAGACAGCATGAAACGTCAGCTGAGTACAAAACATATAGAGGAAAAGAACAAGAAAATGGACAAGAAGAGAAGGACAAAACCTAGAACATTTATCTATCTGTATAATGGGTCTTTTTATGCGTTGTCTTCTCAATTCAGAGGGCCCCCTGCTTGTTTTTGCCTACGGCCCCAAATTTCCTAAATCGGACCCTGGTAACCATACAAAGCATATTGCTTTAGGTTAATAGACTAAGTTAATTAGCCAGTATACTTTTTTTTTTTTTTTACAACTATCCTACTGGGAGCACCAAATAAGCTGATTATAAAGCAGACAAATGCAGAGGCATAGCCAGAATTTTTTTTTTTAAGGGTGGCCAGGCAATAACTGGCCGAAAGTAGATGGAAGGAAAATTAATGAACAAAACATCCATATTGTCTAAATAAAGACTAACTATACTTTCCTACAGCCTTTGCTAACAAATAGACGCACATCCGTAATTTTTAGATAAAAGGTATAGTGGATAAAACTCAGTTTTGAGTTCTGGAGTGTAAATCAATCATCACTTACCTACTTGTATCAATAAACATTCTGCATACAATTGATATTTACCGTAGAAGCACCAATATCTACATAAATTGATTATTTGACTTTTTTATTGAAGTTTTGAAGTTTTTTATTAAAATTGTTATTTATCTTTGATTTCACTAAAGATTCCAAGATGATTCACAGAGACACATAATTTTCTCTTTACCCCATAAAACCCAAAATCTAGCTCTGAAAAGAGCATGCATTCTGTACTTATCATCTTTGATGTTAGTGTATTGATGTGTATAATTAACCACAAAAAATAAACATTTTTGAATATTCCACTTGAGATTATTACTGTTGCCACCATCTGTATGAGAGTGGGGAAAATGGTAGGGGTGGCCACAGGGGTGGCCAATGATTGGCTAAGGGTGGCCATGGCCACCCCTGGCCCCCCATTTAGCCCCGCCCCTGTGTGAGCAGCTCCTGCTTCACCTCCTTCACCCAAATGATGACATTGTTCAGCCATAAACCATGACTGACAGAAGTCTGCGCTCTGCTTTTATAAAACGATTTTTTCCGAGCAGAGTTTGATTTTGTGCGTAGCAGCAGAGCACTGCGCCGGAGTTACGTATTTTGCGTACAGTGCGTACGTTAGCCTACTTCCTGCCTGCTGCTGCAGTCAGAAATGGCGGAGCTGAAAGAGGCGGACGCTTCTCAGCAGCACCAGGAGGACGAAGGTATCAAACGTGAGTAAAAACGCGTCACGTCTCCGTCGATGCGCTGATCCTGTGGCGATAAGAGCGATTTGAACCCACGCGGCAAACTTTGCATCAATGCGTGTAGAATTTCTCCAGAATCTGAGTTTGAAGAACGAAGCGCGAGGAGGGCCTCAGCGCGGAGCTCCGCCATAGGGCCTAAACAGTCAACAACAACATGGATGGATGAATGGAGGCGCAGCCGCAGAACAGCGCGGCGGCGGCAGGGGTTTAAGTGCGCACATCTGGCCAGCTGTTTCCTCTGCTGCAGAAGCGCTCATAGACACGAAGTGGAAGTTCACACTGAAAACAAAAACTTTGTTAAAAAAAAAAAAAAAAAAAAAGAGAACTAGAGGTCCCGAATTCACGATTTCCTGAAAGCACAGAGATAAGTCGGCGTTTTCGAACTTTATTAAATATTTTTCTCTGTCGGTATTTCGTGGACAAACAGCAGCAAACCAGATTAATAGAAACCAAAACCTGATCTGATAGTTTTGATCTGGGTCAGAGCGCTGCATCCAATACTCAGAAAATGATCTGGAAGGAAAAAGTCTATTAGGAAGATGTTTGTTAGTGTTATTTTAATGAATGTAAAGCCCCACAGCACTGCTGACGGTGTGACATAGAAACATTTTAATAGGTTCATGGTTCCTTTATTTATTTGCAGCAGTTTAAAACATATTCATACCCAGATACACTGAAAAAAGTGAAAAGGTCTTTAGACACAGAACTGTTCACACGAAGCAAGGCTCAGATAAAGAGAATTGCACTTTAAAACCGGAATAAATATTTATAAAAAAAAAAAACAAACTGTAAGAACAACATAAAGGAAAGAATAAAACCTGAGGTAAATATACTGAAAATAAATATAAAAATATTGATAATTAATACAATCCCTGATAAGAGTTATTGCTGTTTTCAGTAAGAACTTCCTCTGGGGTTCGTTTCGCAAAGGAGGCTTAATAAAGTCAGATTCAAATCTGCAATTCTAAATTGATCTCGCCTAATGTTGGTAACTCTGAGTTTTCGGTTTCAAAGCGGCTGCTGTGAATTAATTCAATCAACCCTAAGTAAGTCCACTAGTAAATTCAACGAATCACCATGACAACAGGAAACAGGAAGTGTTTATTTAACCCCACTGGAACTAAAGATTTCAATGAAAAAAAAAAAAAATGGAGAATGTGTTTAAAAGACCGAGCAACAGCACTACTGCTGCAAAGGAGAGGAAGATGGCGAAGCAGATTGTTGCTCCAGTTAATGTGTAGGTTTCTGTAAGTTGGGCTATGGCAGGCTGTTTTTACATTTATTAAAAGCACCCTCCTTTCTGTTGTTCCATTTGTAGATCACTAAAATATGATTATTCCTGATCAGAATCACACTCCTAGACTGATTACATTATTACTGATTACATTTTTGCAGCAGAAACCGAATTTCAGAAAGTTAAAAAAAATAAAAAAAAGATTACACTAGTAAGAATTAATTTTTATATATCTAGAAATGTTCACACATTTTAAGTGGCCGTTTTGATATTCATCAGCTTGGCTGAATATTTATTCATAATATCTTAATAATACAAATGCTGACCAGTAACTATAGGAATATGAAGATCTGAAATGAATTTCTAGACATCCAGAATGTTTATTTTAGATGTAAAGAATGTCACTTTGTGTGAAATCGTCATTTTGACAAGGATTTTTTTTTTTCAGATATCAAGAATATATATTTAGTAATACTAATACATATATTGGCTTGCCGTAGTCTGTTGTGACCATGATATCATTATAGAGCTATTTCTTGAATGGCAGTTGGTCAATGTATCTATTTAGGTGAAATCATCTGGCAGAGAAAGCAGATGAAGAAAACATTGCTCTAATAGATAAGACATGTTAATCTTCTCATTGGGTTCTTCAGTTTCATTCAGTCTTCTTTTACACAGTAAATACTAAGCGGCTGTTTGCAATCACTTCGGTTGTTATCATCCCAATAAACGGTTGTTATGAGAGGTTAGCTATCCCATAGACTGGCTTCAGATTGTGTCAGTAGGCTCAGTAGGTTGTTATCACTGAATGAATCCTAATCCTAAAGTAAATCCTTTTTCCCCCGCGGAATTAATCTATGTGTGATCTGAAAATAACTTCTGTAGTACTTCATGTACTATGAAAATAAATAAAATAAAATGATCCACATGCTGTTCATACAAAACAAACCAAAAACAAATAATTATATCCTGTCAACTGACTTGTATAAATTTAATTACCGTATCTATGAAAAAGTGCTGATCATTCTTTAAAAGGATCTTCGTCAAAACTCACATACAATATTTGTTTTTAAATCTTAATGTGCCTAATGGACCTGGTAAATGTTTTTTTTTTTTTTTTTTTTTTTTTTATGCACAAAACTATGACAAAAATCTGACTAAATCAGGAAAGAAAACACTATTATTGGTTGTAAGGAGAGCGAAGGCAGAGGACACTGCTACCGGCCAGGTTAGCTCTGAGGGAGAATGTTACTATGGCGACAGACACAGAGTTGAGGAACTCTCTTTGTGAACTGGAAAACTCAGTTTCCCTGTTTTCAGGTTAAGAAAACTTAGAGTTTTCCATAAACCCGCTTTTTAAATCAAACCTCTGGTGTCTCATCAAAATCAATTTAATCCACAGTACCAAACTGGAAAAGTTTGGGAACCATTAACCTTTCATCTTACTGGTTACTAGATGTTACTGAATTCCAGATCATAAAAATATCTCAAGAATTGAAAAGTAACTGTTCATCATATGAGCCTGCCCCCACCCATCCTCACCACCTTCTACAGAAGCACCATAGAGAGCATTCTGACCAGCTGTCTCACTGTGTGGTGTGGAGGCTGCAGCGCCACAGGCTGGAAGAAGGTGAGGAGAGTAGTGAGAACAGCAGAGAAGATGATTGGGGCTCCTCTTCCCTCCATAAGAGACATTTCATCCCAGCGCTGCGTGTCCCAGGCCCGTAACATCATCAGTGACCCCTCACCCCCCACCATGGACTGTTCTTCCTGCTGCCCTCTGGGAAGAGGCTTTGCATCATTCGATGCAGGACCAGCAGAGTCTGCCACAGCTTCCTACCCACTGCCATTAGACTGCTGAACTGCTGTATAAAATGGGGTTAAAAAAAATAATAATAAAATAATGCTGAAAGTTGGAAAAACTGTAAATCATACACCAATCTAATGTTTACATTTGATGAACATGTTTAATTTTTTTTACTGCTGCACTTTAAAAATTGAAATGTCTTTAGAGCTGTACTAACCTAAATTTCGTTTTGTATACACTCAGTGTGTACAAAATGACAAGAAAGTCTCTCTAAATCTATCATCTAAGGATATTCTTTTTTTAAATTAAATGTGTTTTGTTTTTTTATTCTCGTGATTTTTTGTATTTTTGATAAGAATTTCAAAAAAAGTTCAAACTGGAGCAGAAAGTCTGATTTAAATTCCTCTCGTCTGGTTTTGAAGGTGATACAGATGAGGATGCTCCTGGGGCGCTGGTCCAGGCTCCCGGGGGGCCGGTCCAAGCTGCAGACAGTGACACCAAACCTTCAACCACGACCTCCGGTAATTAAGCTGATCAGCTGCCCATCTGTGGACTCGCAGTAACAGATGCATGAAATAAAAACTTGTTATATTTGTTCCCTGCATGCAGACAGACACATCTCCATCCAGACCAAGCTGGAAGGCCTAGAGATGCTGGTGGACCTAAATGGGGGTGAGTTCAGTCCCTCAATACCACCTACAATGTTAATTTTCTTCTTCAAAAACAAAATATTCAAGCGGATAAACTCCTTCAGGCTCAACTCTTAATAGTCAAAGTTTCTCATTTCCATAAAACATTTACTGGAATTAAAATCCAACATGCTGATAGATAATTGAGGATTTTTTCAGCTGGATCCTGATGACTGTTGGATGTTTTCTTTCTCCCTCCAGCGGGGCGGAAGTCCTGCCCTCTTTGTCCAGAGGAGAAGTTCAAAGCTTGCTACAGCCACAAACTACGCAGACACCTGCAGAAGCTCCACTGGAAGGTCTACGTGGATTTCCAGGGTAACGCCTTGTTTTCTTCACTGAATCAAACTGGAACCTGCTGTTGATCTGCCTGTTGACCTCCATCTCCTTCCAGGCAGCAGGATGTGCATCTGCCACCTGCCCTGTAGGAACCCCAGGCCCAGCCAGAGTGGAGATCCGGTGAGGGGGGCGGGGTCACAGTGGAGCTCAGAAAGTTTTTTTCTGTGTTCGAGGTTCTTCTAGGGGGGATTGATGCAGCAACCTGCAGCTGCAGGAGTTTCTATGAACACGAATCCGGATTATTCTCTGGGTTCAGTTTACCTGTAATATCCAGGCTCCATAGATCGGAGTCGTTAAACTCAGCAGGTTCTGATCCGTTCAGCAGGATAACACAGTGTCATCGGTCTACATTAAGACGTTCAGGTCTAGCCCACAGGATTAAAACCTGTGTGGATTGGTTCTAGCCTTTCTTCTAAAACCGGGTAAGTAATCGGCTCAGATGGTCAGGAGGATCTCAGGAGGCACCACGAAATCAAGTCTGTCCTCAGAAATTACTGGAGGACCAGTTCATCATTAATGCTGAACTCCTGCTCCTTCACATACAGTGAGGTCTGACCTGATTGGACAGAAATCTGCCTGCAAGCAGTTTGGCTGTTTAAAGATTCTGCTCCAAGTTTTAAATCTTATGTAGTTTAAAATGTTATTCTTAAAAACATCTTAAATTCTTTCATTTCACAATGAACCCTCCAGAAGTCCTGCTGTGAAGCACGGCGGTGGCAGCCTTATGCTGTTTGTTGTTGTTTTGTGGATGAAACCAAAGGAAGGAGGAGTTCTTCCACCTGTCTTCTGGTCAGTTTGACAATGGCTGAAACCTGGACACAGCTTCTTCCTACTTGGTTCTGAAAAAGGTTCCCACCATTAATTGTGGAACATGTTTAAAAATCCGAGTCAACATCAGGAGGAGTTTAAGGTTCTTCAGTCAGTCCACCCTAGAAACAGAATGGTTCTGATGAAGTAAGCCTGTGATTGTTTCGCTTCATAAGTCTGAACCTTGTGTCCAAACTGTTCTGTTCCTCCTCCAGGGGGCGGGGAGACACATGGCCCACTACCACTGCGTGGTTTGCTCTGTCACCATCGCCCGTAGGACCGACATGATCAGCCACCTCAGACGCCATGACAACAAAGGAGAGACGGAGGCCAGCTACTGCGGGAGCTCAGAGGTCCAGGTGGAGGAGCCGAGTGAGGACCATCCCACATCACATCAAACCCCACTGAGACCACCCTCCCTCTGAAACTGGGTCTGCTTTTCCACAGCCCCGTCGGGTCAGGACTACGAGATCATGAAAGAACTCGGAACCAACGTCCAGCTCCTGCCGAACCACACCACCCCGCTGAAGAGCGACACCTACTTCAACCGGAAGATGAAGACCAACAGGTCCAGAGAAGCTTCAGGTTAACCCGGATCAGAACCAGCATGGAGGTCCGCTAAAGCTGCATGTTTTTGTTGCAGGCAGCTGGTGTTTTGTTCCCTCGCTGTTCTGGCAGAGGAGAGAAGCCCGCTGGAGTGTCTGGACGCGTTTGGAGCAACAGGTGAGAACAGCTCTACCGAAACCGGACAGAGGCGGTGCTGCTGGATCAGCAAATCGTCTGGCTGTGAAGAATGATCCGCTGCAGTGTGAGAAAGTATTTTCTCCCTCCTGAGATATTTTCATCATCAAACAGGTTTTAATATCAAGTTAAGATGATCTGAGACGATCAGGGAAGCTGAGTCCAAACAATTCCGTTACTAAGGTAGAATCAGCTGCCAGCTTACGGAGCTGCATTGGGGCCAAAATGTTCAAGAATTTTTTTTCATTTCTATTTCCCACAGTTCTTGAATTCAACATCTTGGAATAGTTTGTTCAGGCACTTAATCTGTCAGTCATCAACCCACACCCTATTATTTAAGCCCCGCCCCCATGCTGAGAACACATTAGTTAAAAAAAATAAATAAACATTTAAATCTGAGAAAGATCATTAATAATTTGTTTTCAGTTTCAAATAATTTTTTTTACATTTTCTAAATAATGTTTAATTTATTACATTTTTTAAAGACAATCTTTTTAAACACTCTTTTTAAACACTTTATGCAATGCTTGCCCACAATGCTGTCAGCTCATGCCCAACCATCTCACTTGGACTTTACCGTAATTAGACCACCCATAAACCTTTGTTTTGTTTTGTTTTGTTTTGGTAAATGGTGTCAGTCTCACTTTAGGTCAGAAGCTGATGGCAAAATTAATGTCCCCATTCATTGCAACAAATTAATTTCTGAAGCAACACTGCAGCTCCAGACCATCATGCTACCACCACTGTGATTGGCTGTAGGTGTTTCTTTTATGTAATGCTGCTAGTTTTCCTCCATTTGTAACATGACACAAACCTCTACCAAGATTACTTTTGACTTTTTAGTCCAAAGAATATTTCCAGATCTTCTCTGGTAAATGAAATGGGTTGGTACTGATTCTGGCTTTGAATTCCTTGTGATGGAAATTTTGGCGGAGTTTATCCTGCCCATTTTTGAATCATGATCACTGATCTGAGAAGCCCAAGCTTCTTCACGGTTCTTTGGACATGTTGGTCAGTTCTTGGAGGTCTAACGTCTGAACGTTTTCAGACTTGGGCCCAGATTAAAGGTCGCTGAGTCCATTTTGTGTCATGCTTTCCTTTAGGCATCATGGGCCTCCAGTGGGCCAAACACCTTCGGAACGCCGTCAAAGTGACCATAACGGACATCAATGACACGTGCATCAAAATGATTAAAGAGAACTGTGAGCTGAACAACATCCGAGTGGATGGAGGCTCTCGAGGCCCTCGGGGAACCGATAAGGTTGGCGGTGAGGCAGAGACGGCTCCTATTGCTACCGTGGAGGTCGCCAAGATGGACGCCAATGTCATCATGCATTTGCGACCTTTTGACTATATGTAAGTTTATCTTCGTACACATCCTGAAAATTCTGATGTCATCAAATGTTTCTAGTCTCTCAACCAAAACGTTTCGTCTTCCAGCCACCTGGATCCATTCGGCACGGCTGTTAACTACCTGGATGCTGCCTTCAGGAACGTCAGAAACCTTGGCATCATCTCGGTGACATCAACAGACACCGGCTCGCTCTACGCCAAGTCACCCAATGTCACCCTGCGCCACTACGGCTGCCACATCGTCCGGACAGAGTACTTCAAAGAGCTGGCTGCACGCATGGTTGTTGCCGCCGTGGCCAGGTAGGACTCCTTCTCCATCTGTCTGCTATGGAGACTTTGAACTATTAATGTGACTTTCCCTTAATGGTTGCAGAGCGGCGGCACGCTGTAACAAAGGCATCGAGGTGCTGCTGACTGTGGCGTTGGAGCATTTTGTGCTGGTGGTTGTGAGGGTACTCAGAGGTCCGACTCAAGCGGACGAGTCGGCCAAGAGGCTTCGCAAGCTGGTCCACTGCCAGTGGTGTGAGGAGAGAGTCTTCCTGAAACAAGGCAACATGGTGGACGGTGAGCTGCTGTCATCCTTGCAGTTTGACATAAACCATGCTCAATGTCCAGCAGCCCCACTGATCAGCGCCATGTTTTTTGTTGTCAGTAGAAAATCATTGTTTCCCCCATTGGGAACTCGATGTCAATACCTTACAAAATGTGATTCATTAAGATGTAGCCCATTTTACAAAGATTTACATGCAATTAATTTTTTTTATAATATTCTACTGTTGTGCTGTTTTTGTTTGTTTATTTTGCCTAGAATGTTGTTCTGTACTTTGGCATATTCAAGCTGGATACGTTTACTGATGATTAGCTTACATGTTACACTAACGCCGCGGTTCTCAAAGTGTGTGGCGCGACCCACTGGTGGGGAATTGAGACGTGACAGGTGGGGCGCGCCAAGTTCCGGTGTGTGTGTGTGTGTGTGACTATAAATGTGGAACTTGTGAGAGCAAACTGTCCTTATAGCTGTATGTTGCCGCTTTTTAGACCAATCAAACCCACAAAGTAATCATTACTAGCCTGTATGCAGTCTAATTAAAAGAACATTAGAAAAATTTCACCTGGAACTGAAGTGCCAAAATAATGATTGACGTGACGTCGGCATATTATTTGTAACGGAATAAACTTTCGCGCCCCAGTGTTGCCAACTCAGCGACTTTGTCGCTATATTTCAGACCCCTCCAGCGACTCTTTTTCAAAAAAGCGACTAGCGACAAATCTAGCGACTTTTGGAGGCTCCTACGTGAAAGCACGTCTCGTTCCTTTTCTTGTCCTCCAGCGGCAGGTGCTGCCGTGGGGCGCCTCCTCCCTCCCAACCCCGTTCTCCCCCGCTATCGCAGGAGTCCCTCTCAGCGCTGCAGTAAGGGACACAGCATGTTTACCCTCAGCGTCCAGACAGCAAATAAAGCGCACATGCGCCGGGATTGACGGCGCAGGTTGATCATAAATAACTGAATTTGAAATATTTTATCTGAAATAAATAACGGCGTTTGATTCACACAGCCACATGTTCATGTTTCTGGTTTGGAGTGGAGAGGGAGTATCCACTCATCGGGCAGAGAGCTGTGTGCATTCTTCTTCCCTTTGCCACATCATATCTCTGTGAGATGGGCTTTTCAACTGTTGCTTCACTGAAAACAAAGCATGACTTGAGAGTGGCAGTATCAAGCCTGCAACACCGTTTTGAGAAACCGCAATGCAAAACAGGCTCATTGCAGCCACTAATGCAGGGATAAATAGACCTGTATTGCCAGATGGATTTCACTTCTTTTCTTTTATTAACAGATTGCAGAGTGGCACTTTAATTTTTTCTATCTTTGAGCTTGATACAAATTTTGACACAGCTGCATTTTTATTTTCTTTATTTTTGAGCTTGCTGTTATTTGATGTAGATAGTTTGTATTTAGATTAGTGCTGTCAATCGATAAAAAAATTTTAATCGCGATTAATCGCATCAATGCCTAAGTTAACTCGCGATTAATCGCATTTTAATCGCACATTTTTTTCCTGATTGAAAATCATTTAAATACTCTCGATGACATACAAAAAAATACATACAGGCTAGGTTTGTGCCAATGTTCTTTTTTTAAAATGAGAACAGGTCACAGACACTGATTTATGCCATAGAAACATATGGCAAGAAGATGGGGAGGCATGTAGCAAAAAAATAACAAATATGTAGGCAAAAAAAAGGCCCTGAAAACAGGCTGATGTAAAAGACAGTCTTTACACTTAATACAGTCTTTTGAACAAAGACAAGCATTTTACCTTACTGCTATAAAATTTAGTAGAGTTAACATTAGATGTTAATTAACCAAGATAATAATGAACAATTTTCAATCAATACATCAAAATCAATAGACCGACATCACTAGATGGAGGTAGTCTATGCTCTAGAAAGTTACTTTTCAGACTCTTAACAAAAATGAGAACACACACACACACATACACACACACACACACACACACACACACACACACACACACACACACACACACACACACACACACAATACTGACCTGTGGCGTACACAGACAGCAAGAGTGCCGTAGCAGATTCCATTAATAACGCAATAATTTTGACAGCACTAATTTAGATACTACTTGTTACTTCAATAAAATTGGAACATTTTAAGATTGTTTCATATTTCATAAGCATTGTGTTGGGGCGATGGGGACAGGCGGGGCTTGAAAATTCCCCCTTGTCCAAAGTGGGGAATGACAGAAAAAGTTTGAGAACCACTGCGCTAACGGGTTAGTTTACTCGATTTTTAGCTTGCTATTGTTGCATTTGGCTTATTTTAAATTTATTTTAGCTCAACTACAAAGATCACTGAACTTTAGCCAAGCTTAGCTTTGTTAATTTTAGCTCGGTTTAGGGACAGCATAGCATGACACCGCTAGCTTGTTTTAACCTGTTTTCAGGGGGAACCTTAGCATAGTTGTAGTCTTTTATTTATTTATCTTTTTTTTTTTATCTTAGATTTCAGCAGGTTCGTTACATCTAGAGTAGTTGTGTGGATTAGCTCATTGAATTAGCATTAGCATACCCTAGACTCATTTAGCTTCAGTTTAAATCGGGGCTTGAAAACAAAATAATTTTTCCATCATTCCGTTCCGAACAGTTTTGTATGTTTAACGTTTTCGTTCTTATGTTCCGCCACCAACATATCGGCTCTGAACCGGTTCGGAACGCAATATATCGTTCGTTCTTATCGTTTCTGCAGTGTTTGGTTAATTTGACGCTGCATTAAACGAGAAATATTTCCTCATCCGGTTTTCTTGGTTCCATCCCATCTAAACATGTAAAAGCCTAAATAAATTGCAGTATTCAATCTGTAACAACCGCACTAGCCAGCTAATATTAAGTTCAGTTGGCTAATGTTGGCTTGTTAGCTCACATGAACAGTGTAGAGGCTGATTTGTTTTTCGTAGCTAGAAATGTCTAATAGGGAGATATATTTGCAACCTTTATTGTGAATTACCAAGTTAAAGTTATTAATTCAACTCAGTTACATTTGTTTATGTTTGTTGATTGCTCAGTTGCATCTCAGTATCGTGCTGGGGTGGTAGTGGAAAAGGAAGAGGAAATATTAACAGCTGCCTGGATTGAGCCTGGCGGCGGCGAAGTGAACACACAACCTGAAATAGATATTTTTCCCCACTGACATTGGCTATGCTTTTGTGAAATTTTGTAAAAGCATACTGAGAACTAAAAAAAATTTTTTTTGATTAACTGGTTTTGTGGATTTCAGAACAACGTTTCTGTTCCGGAACAGTTGAAGACCTTTTCATTTTTGTTTCCGTTCCTTGTAAAATTCCGTTTGTTTCCGGTTTTCGTTCTTGAACCGGTTCGGAGCCCTGGTTTAAATACACGTAGTTTTGTGTAGCTGATTTATTTTCTTTAATCCCAGCTTTTAGCCTTTTTTATCTAATCTTTTTATAAACCTGAAATCCTACGATACTTTGGTCGAGTCATGTGTGTTGATAATTCTGAGCAGATCCTAGTGAAGCTCCTAATTATTTGAAGATCGCTTTTTGTTAATTTAGCTTAGTATAGTTTAACTTGATGTTATGTGTTTATAAAGCATCTTATATAAATTAGCTTAAGCCGGTTAAGTTGGATTTATTTAACATAATTTTTGTTTTAGAGGATCTTCTGCTTTCATGTTCACCAATCAGATCAGTTTACTTATTTTTATTTATCATTTAATTAATAGGATATTTTTTAAAGCTAATCTTGATGTTTAGTTCAACTTAATCATATGAAAAAAAAAAGAACTTTAATCCCTGTAAAAAACATTGACAGCAACTTTTTCCCCACACAACTCTGTTGATGTTCCGTATTTAAAGGAAAGTCACTTTTGACTGAAGTATACATCTTGCTTTAATGCTTTATTTTTCTTGTAGACACACTCCCCTGTAACTGTCATGGCAGTCTGCCTGGAAGGACCGCGGTGCAGCTGGGACCTCTGTGGTAAAAACATAAAACTTAAATTAAAAACAAACTCTCTGAATGATTCTGGAGAACTAAATGATGATTTATTTATTTACAACCAAATCAGACAGATCGTGTTTTCCTTAATTAAACTGACCAGATGTGGAGTAAATGGTTCTAAAAAGTAAAGGTCACTTCTCAGTCTGAAACATTTATTTCTGTGCAAATAGAAAGGTGGGTTTGATGCCCCTGTTTGCAGGTCTGGTCCTCTGTTTAACACCGGCTTCCTGAGGAGGATGCTGTCTGCAGCCGTGCACCACAGCATGGACGACATCCAGCCACTCGTCAAAACTCTGATCTGCGAGTCTGAGTGCACCCCCCTCAAGTCTTTGGTGCACGGGTCGTCCGCTCTCACCAACCAGGGTAACCATCTCAGCCTGGACACAGTCTGTTACATATGCAGGATGAAATACTGAATTGGCTGTTTTTCTGCTGCAGTGGAGTGTGGAGTCGTTATCAAGACGTTGCAGAGCGCAGAGGATGGAGGTCCAGCTGATGAGTCCGGTCAGTAGTAGTAGTTATTATTTTATATCTAAAGTAGCTGCACAGACAATAAAAAACAAACCAGTGTATTATTAATCACCTATAAAATACCAGAAGGTTCTGAGCTTTAAACAAGTTTAAAATCCTAAATATATGGAAAAAATGGTTCTGGACACGTGTAGTTTTACATCAGTCCTCTAGAGGTCAGTGTTGTCCTTACTAACTTTCTGGGTTTTACTGTTTACTGGGTTTAAACCAGTGTTTTTCATGGTTGCATAATAAAACAGTGGGATGTTTGTATTTCCTGCAGGGAAGAGGAAAAGTGGGGAGGAATCTGGCAATGTAGTGAAGAAGTTAAAGGCCGACTCTTCCCTGGAACATCCGCCTTTCTATTACAGCGTCAACCGGCACAGCATCCGGGGAATGAACATGCCCAAGTGAGTCATCTGGGACCAGCACACAACATCAACAACTCAGCATCAATTACAAAGGCCTCAAAATATGCGGCATGACTAAAAAAAGATCCATGGAGACATAAAGAGTTTGGGAAAATAAAACAAACTCAAAAAAAAAAACGTAGAGAGGCATAATTAAGATGATTGATGGCTGAAAACCAAGCTGTTAGATATTGGAAATTTTGTGTGATTTCATCCAAACACAAACCTCTGGAACAAACCAGACCCACATATTCTGGGGAAGCAGAACTTCCTTGAGTTTGTCTCACAGCAAAGGAGACGTTTAGAAGAATGATGATGTAATCCTCTGAAGGGTTCGTCATCTGCAAACAGATGGACTCCAGCTCCTGATAGGAGTCAGAAAAACCTGGGGTCCAGTTTAAACCAACCCAGATTTAGGTCCATATGAAGATATGTAACCCCTCAGCATGATACTGCCACTGCTATGTCTCTGGGCACTATGTTTCCTTCTCACTCTGTTCCAGTTATTTGGGTTCATAGAACCAGAACTCCTCTATTTTTGCTCCACAGGCTGAACAAGTTCCTGCAGTACCTGACAGAGGCTGGCTTCAGGGTGAGCCGGACTCACTTTGACCCGACGGGGGTCCGAACCGACGCCACGCTGCAGCAGTTCAAATCAGTCCTCAGCAACCACAGCGCCCCCACCTGCACAAACGTCGGTACCAGCAGCACCCAGACCAGCATCAGCACCGAGAACCCCGTCTGAGCCCGGGAAAGCCTTGGAAAATGGCAGCTCCTCCTTCCTGATGACGTTCATTTAGCACATTTTTATGAATCTGTTAATTTGATTTTAATCTAATTTACTGAAAACAGTATTTCATTTTATTTTTCTTATCCGTCTTTTAGAAGCACAAATAAATCTTTCTGTGAATGACTCCTGCTCTTTTCTGTGGATAATTTTTTTTTGCTTCATATTTCAGCCTGTTTTTTCTGAGCTAATGGTACCAAACAGGTAATCCTAAACAGATCTTTAAACTCTACATTTCTTTTTTCAGCAGTGAAATAAAAACGTCACCAAGTTCAAAGTCCCTGAGGAGTCGATTCCACAGAATCGACTCCCTCAGTCTAAAAGGAGAAAAAATAATGACATGGAGAAAAAATGACATGGCCCCCTTGGTCACCTGATCTGAACCTGTGGTCCTTCATGAAATGTGAGATCTACAGGGAGGGAAAACAGTCCACCTCTCTGAACAGTGTGTGGGAGGCTGTGGTGGCTGCTGCATGCAATGTGAATCGCAAACAGATCAAGACACTGACAGAATCTATGGATAGAAGGCTTTTGAGCATCATGGTGAAGAAAGGTGGCTTTATTGGTCACTGATTTGTTTTTGTTTTGAATGTCACAAATGTTTATTTCTGAATTTTGAGTTGTTATATTGGTTTACCAGTAATATTTACCTGCACCCACAGACATCCTCATAAAATGGCCAAATCTAAAAAAAAACTTCCAAAAATATTAAACAGTCTTTTGGGTTGATTTTGAAAACGATTGTGGCCAAATATTGAAAATAATCCTCAAATATACAACTTGTCTAATAATTGTGGAACCCAGCCACTGCAGGGCTTCCCTAGAAGTTACTCAGTGCTGCTTTCTCATCCTGGTTCTGATCCAGTTTCCCATTAAGAACCGAACCCCTTGGTCTGTGGAGCAGAACCATCTCCTATCGGATGTCTGACCATCAGAACCTCCAGCAGGATGAACCTGACCTGCTGGGTCCACTATCCTCTACATTGTTTTAAAATGACGTCATACCAGGAAGTAGAGTTTCAGGTGATTATCCGTTTAACCAATCTGATGGGAATTAACCAATCAGAGGCTCTTAGAGCTGTGACATCAGCTGCGCTCTCAGGTGGTTCATTTCAGAGACCGAACCTCTGATGTTCTGATGTTCGGATTCATCAGAGATGCTTAATAAACATCAGTTATTACCGGGAACCTTCTGGGTCCAAAAGTTTGTCTCTTAACATGATCCTTTAGGAGGAGGAGGAGGAAGAGGGCGGGGCGGACCCTCCTCCTCCTCCTCCTGCTCCTGGCCGCTCTCCACCTGAGCTCCAGTCCACCTGTGGATCCTCATCCGTCAGCAGCACCATGGGGGTCTCTGCTTCCAGTCTCCTGGATGATGCCACGTCCGCCACCATCAGAGGTAAGAACCGGCTCTGGTTCCGGTCCGGGACACCTGGATCTGTTTGTGGATGTTGAACAAAGTTCCGATCCGTCTGGACTCTGATTGATCCGAACCGAGCGGCTCTGCAACCTGTCGGACCGGTTTGGGAGGGGGGGGCTGAAAGTGAGAGGATCTGCGGATCTGGGTGTGTCTGCAGACAGACATTCATGTCAGGACTGTAAGTGAGCTGCAGGTGCATCCACCGGAACCAGGTTCTATGGCTCTGGGCTTGATCCTGACCGGATGGCAGAATCTCTGCTGACAGAAACTTTCTAACCTGGACGGGCTGGACCCAGAGTTCTGGTCAGCTGGTTCTGATGCAGAATAATCTGACCTGCCTAAAGCAGAACCTCCTGGAATCTGTTCTCTAATATATTTACATGGTTTTAGAAATTTTACAGTCAGAAAGGAAAAAGAAACTGCTAAGGAAATGGTTCTGGTTCTCCTCCTGTTCTGGTTCTCCCCCCTGTGGGTTCTGATTATCCTCCAGTTCTGGTTCTCCTCCCTGTGGGTTCTGATTCTCCTCCTGTTCTGGTTCTCCTCCCTGTGGGTTCTGGACCAGCTCCGGGTTCTGACTAGATAAACTGTTCTTCTCCTTATCTCGGCGCATTCTGACCCAAAAAACAATCTGCTTTCTGGACCTTGCTTTTTCCCAAAGATTCAGACAAAAGTTCTGGAGGAACTCCTGTTTATATGATTATTTTAAAGGTTCTGATCCGGTCGAGTCAGGCTGTGGTTCCGCCCAGTATTAATAAACCTGAAGCTGTTTTCCCTCTGACCAGAATCAAAGTTTATGGGTTCTAGACTAGGATCCAGATTCCTGTTTTGCTGTTGAGCAGGGAAGGTGAAATTTGATGCCTTCAGGCTGAAAAACAGAATAAATAAATACAACTAGATAATAAGCACTGGATAATAAAGGCCCTTGGCTTCATTTATGTTAAACAGGGATTCCCTTAATCTGTGGTTCTGTTCATCTGTCGTTCTATTAATTAATATGTGGTTCTGTTAATCAGTGGTTCTATTAATCTGTGGTTCCATTCATAAATCAGTGGTTATACTAATCAGCCAGTGGTTCTGTTAATCTGTGTTTTTATTAAATTATCAGTGGTTCCATTAATCAGTGGTTCTGTTAATCTGTGGATCCATTAATTAATCAGTGGTTCTGTTAATCTGTCTTTTTGTTTATCTTTGGTTCCATTAATAAAACTTTAGTTCTGTTAATTCATTGTTGGTTCCCTTAATTTCTGCTAATCCCTTTATAGCAGTTTTAGAAAAACTGAAGAAAACATTTCTATCCTGTTTCCAGATTAGGCTCCTGGATTCGGGTCCTTTGGTCTGTTAGTTCCCTCGCTGTGTGAACCCAGGGGTCAAAGGTCATCTGATGACTAAACCTCTGCTGTTGCCATGGTTATGGTGTATGATTGGGGCACCGATTCTGCGTCCCAGAAACGTTTGTGTTGGATGTAATGTGTGGTCTGGTTGGTTGTGGTTGCAGTGTTCCCCCTGGGTCACAGCCACTCAGGACGTCCATCTGAACAGTCCCAGTTCTGTCTGTGCTTCCAGGCTGGGCGGGTCCGTTTTTTTCCGGGTCCGCCTAGCTTCAGTGAAACATCTAGAACTGTAACGTCATGGTTCTGGCGCTTTGGGCCAAGATGTGCTGCAGTAACATGAGAGAGGGAACAGAGGAGTGTGAGGTTGTTTCCAGGGTGGGACTGGAGGAGGCAGCCGGTCCAGATGATCAGGCTGACATCAGTCCGGTTTCTGGAGGTCACTGATCGGGTCGGAGGTTCTGGATCAAATCCACGAACAGAAACATAAGAGCTTCAGGCGAGGTGGAAAAGCTGAGTTGAAATGTTTTGGGTTTAAACTGAACATTTTGCATTGAAAGCTGAAAAAAAGATATAAAATAATCTATGTTCAAACTAATTTATCTGAAATATTAAAAAACAACTTAAAATCAAACAAATCTAGAGGCAAAAAAACAGCTGTTAGCAAGAGGTCAAACATGAAGCTTGTTGATTCTGTTCCAGTTCTGGGTTCCAGTTCTGGGTTCTGGTTCTCCTCCTAGGCCCAGCTGCTTGCTCTATTTTACCCTTCATTTATACAAATGTTAAAAACAGTCATAACTGTCTTATGTCTTAGTCAAAGGTATCAGTCAGGAGAAGGGACAGAAACATCCAGTCTGATGAAAGGAAACCCCAGGTTCTGTTTGGTACCAGTAGAATAACGGATTAAAGCTATTAGAGGAACCAGTGGGGTTCATCCTGGTTTCTGGTTCTTCTGCCTCCAGCTGCTGGGAGGAGCTGTGGGAGATCCAGACTCGGTTCGCCACAGAGAAGAAGCAGGTGGAAACGCTAATGTGGTCCAAAATGACCTGAAAGAACCAACCGGACCAGGCGGGCTGAGACCCGGTTTTGAGTGAAACATCACTCCGCCATGCTGCAGGCCTCCAGGTTGTGTGTGCTTGCAGCAGGAATGCGGGAAGACATGTTGACAAGACTTTTAGAAGTGAAGGTCAAACCGGCTCTGCAGCCCTGGGCCGACGCCCTGCTGAAAACATCAATTCCACCATCCATGATGCTTTTAGTTTGTAAATGTAAAAAGATCCCAAAGTATTGAAAGCTGAATGTTCTTCAGCGGTAAGGATCTGATGAAGAACATGGAGGGAGGAGAAAGATGGAGCTTCTGGACCACAGAACAGAACCGAAATGGACCCAACCTAAAGAACAGAACGGAGGTCAATCTCTTCCCTCGTCTCCTGGAGAAAGCTGAGGACAGAAACTGGATGATAGATGTTAGATGATGAGGCATCTTTCTTCAGTCTCTCAGTTCGCTCGTTACGCTCTGCTCTAACTTTGGGAAAATTTGCGTCTCAAACAAAAAACAGATTTTTCTGGGGGTTTTGTTTTTATTTATTTATTTTTTTTCAGTCCCTCTGATTTTGGAGAAACTGGCCGTGAAATCTGCTCCATCTGCGGAGCAATTTTAGAAACTCTTCCCCTTCCAGCCCAGAGGAGCAGTTCCTTTCTGCTGCTGTTTTTTTTCTTCTTTATTCGGGATGATATTAATTTTTAATCTGGAGGAATCAGAAAGATGATGATAATGATGATGACTGATCAGAATCAGAATGCTTGATGAACCCACTGAGCAGACAGCCTCTGGTTTCCATGGGGTTTTCCATTGCTGATCCGGGAATGTTACGGAGGACACTGTGGGCAAAACAGGTTTTCACAGTGAAACTTTTCCGCTTCTTATTCACATGTTGCTGTTTGTGGAAACATGCCTGACATGTGCTGGCATGTCCAGGCTCCATGGGACCAGAGGACACGTCTGTCTTGCGTAACATTCTAGCCTGTTTGTCTGGAGGATAATCTTTCAGCTAATCTTCTAGTTTTTAAAATTTGTTCATTTCAAACTTTTAGACAAAATCTTGATTCATTTTAGAAATCAAACAAAATTAATTAACTAAATTACTTAATTAAATTTGGAGTGTTGATTGGAGACAGACAGGCCCTAAATCAAAGTTAAAAGAAGCATTTTATACAACTCCAATATGCCACATTATCACAACATAAATGTTTGCAGATGAGGAGACGTCCATGGCTCCAGCCTTATCAAAATATTACACTATGCTATTAGATCAAGGACACCGCTCTAATTCCATTCCCAGACCTTTGCTGCGTACAAAATGAAGATGACTTTTTATTATGAGTGAGGAACTGTCCTAATTAGATAAACTACTTGGGAAAACATTAGTTCTGATACCTAACGGGCAGGTATTGTTAGGGTTTAACAGACTCACACATCATCAATACAAACAATCTTAACAGACCAGAACCATCAGGGCCTTTAGTTGAAGATGGTCTTAGTAACCCTTCAATCAGCTGAAAGGTCACTTGCATGCTATGCTTATGAAGAAAAACAAGCTCTTGGGAGAAGTCCTCACAGAAAAAGGAAACATGAAGATCATGTCGGAATATTGAAGATCAGCTGGAAGGTGGCTGGTTTCGGTAGGATCTTCGGAGGTCTGTGGCGGATCTGCAGAGTTCTGTGGCGGATCTGCAGAGGTCTGTGGCGGATCTGCAGAGGTCTGTGGCTGATCTGCAGAGGTCTGTGGCGGATCTGCAGAGGTCTGTGGCGGATCTGCTGAGGTCTGTGGCTGATCTGTGGAGGTTTTTGATCCATCGGCTAAGGAGTGTGACGGATTGGTAGAGGTCTCTGTGCTGTTCAGGTCTTTAAGGACTCCCAAAGCTGCACAGAGCTGCACTGCAGTAAAGGTTGTGACAAGTTCTGCTGAGCCTATTTACTGCCCCAAGATTCTAAACAGAACCTCTGCCTCAGACAACCTTTTGCAGTTTGCAGTCAACTTTGTTTCCATGGAGACATTTCATTTTAAACCTAAAGGCAATGTTTGTATGGAAGGTGTAGAATCGGTGCTGATTCTGTTAAACCCCTACATTGTGATCAATTTGAAGGTTTTTCATCCACCTTTTCCTTTCCTGTTCTCTGAGCTGGTTGAAGTTAGATGAGTGGAGGTCATGTTGGCTTGGTTCTCAGCTGCTGTCATGGTTCCTGCTGAGGGTGGAAGAGCAGGTCTCCTGCAGTGAAACCAACAAACCACATTCCAGCATTCTTCGGGTCGGGCTCCGGTCCAACGGGCTTTGAAGACGCTGCTCCCTCAGCAAAGAATGAAGCTTTTTACTGAGTTGCTCTCATTAAGGTGGAGCCAACATGGATCTCTGACAGGTGGAACAGGAGCCGCACCTTTAGAGCAAGCGGGTCCACAACAGCAGCAGACAAGCTGGACCAGTCCAATGTCCAACTGGACTGAGACTGATTTAACCAAATATGTGGGACTGTATGTAAATATCTGAAGTGATTAAAGACGATCGGCGTGACCTACAGGTTCGGAATCAATGGTCAGTCAATCAGTGGTTCTGTCTCAGACTGATTGCTTTGGAGCTAACAGGGAATAAGTCACAGCCAGAGGAGATGGAGGCAGGCGGATCGGCAAATTCACCAGAACACCAACAGAACATGAGCAGAATCCATCTTTTTATCTTTCTGGTTCTGAACGCTGTCCAGGGTCTGCTTGAATGCTTCAGCTGTGTTTGAGTTGGAAAAGAAGTAGAACCAATTTTTATTTCTGCAGAAAGAAGAAGAAACTGAGTAAAAAATGTTTCCGGTTCTGAGGGAAAACAGGACAAACAAATCTGCTGCAGATGTTTGCATGAACCATGAACCACATCGTCTGTATTCAAATCTCCTGTGAGCAGCTTGAACCAAGGTGACCTCAGAGCCATGAGGTCATCAGAGAGGGAGGGGAGGGAGAAAAGCAGCTGAGGATGGAAAATGTTTTCCTCTGACTGGTTCAGCAGCTGCAGAGATATTCACAGTCATCATCTGTGAATGTGATGAGTGTTGCTCTTTGGAGAAGAACGAGGATTCTGTTAAAAACCTGAACTCTCAGATTTTATTCTTTCTCTGAAGTTAAAACCAGAAAGTCAAGCTGTAGCCAGATCATAGTTTTCTGCACATTTTGCTCCACATAACTGAGATTTTCTGGGTTTCATAGAAGCGGCTGATTGGGCCCATAAATCACTGCAGATTTTTCAGTTCTCCTCGGCTCTCAGGCGGACCCAACCGTTTAAATATCAGACCTGATGAGTGACGCTGCTGATTCCCACAGGAGGAGTGAGATCATCCGAACCGACACCAGCTCTGGCTCTGGACCAGAGGAGACATCTGCAGGATCAGCTATGTCCATGCATGAAGCACAGGACGTTTCTCTGGAAACAATCAGCCACAATTTGGCTTTTAAAACCATGTAAACGGTTCTAAAGCCTCCAGAACCGCTTCTGCCTGGGGGTCCAAACGGCTGCAGGCCAATACAGACCAATGGGTTCCTGTTTTAGAAGCAGTATTTTACCCGATTTGACTTGAACAAAGTTAGAAAAATCAGGTCCAGACAGGAGGAGCAGAACCAGGAGTTTGGACCGAGTCAGTCTCAAGGTCTGGTCGTTATCTTGACCCGAATATTGTCTGCTAGACCTGAGCAGAACCTGATCAGTTGTCAGTCTGAGTTCAGCTGGAGAAAAATGAAAAATGTTTTGGTCCTAAAAACAGCAAAGAATTTAGAATAAACATAAAAGAGTAAAAAGATAAATAAAATAAACTGCTGAAGTTCCAATGAATGAGAGATGAAGAAACGAGGAGGACATTTTTTTTACTAATGTTGTTAAAAAGGCTTTATTCAGAAATGTCAGAAAATGAATCATCTTGTTCTAAAAAAATAAGTTTGATTTTTGAATCATTATTTTTACTTGTAATAAAGGTTGGAGTAAATAAAAAGGATACAAATATTGTTATTAATATATATATATATATATATATATATATATATATATATATATATATATATATATATATATATATATATATTTTTTTTTTTTTTAAAGTAAGGTCAAATACTAAATAATAAAGAGCAAAGTTTTTGTCTCTTTTTCTCTTTGCATAAAAACGTTTTTAGATAAATTATTTTTGCTGTTGGTCCATTTTGGCCTGGTTCTGATGTCCTGTGACTTGGGGGTGGAGTTGGCGTCAAAGGTTGCGGGTGTGGTCATACATGCGTTAAGGCTCCGCCCCTTTAACGTTGACTGGAGCATCAGTATCTGAGGGATCCTCCAGTTTCATGCTTTAATTTTAGGTCAATGCTGATTATTCCGACATCAGTCTAACTGATCAATGTTGTGCTTGAAAGTTTACATACAGAAATAACAGAAAACAAACAAAATAATTATGAATGTTTACTAGATTTTAATTTAGTAAAATAAACAAAATTATTTTACAAATCAAACTGTCCCAGACAAATTAAAGCACCTTCCTGATGAACAGTGAAGTAACATACCTGTCAACAGGTGCAGAAGTCTGAACACTTCCTGAACATTACAGAAAACACCTGATTGCAATGATTACTGCTGAGTGTTGCTGTCATCATTTTCCTTTTTTTTTTATCATTTTTATTTATTTTACTGGAAGCTGGCTTTCTTTCTGCCTTTTATGGAAGGGTATGGAAACTTTCAAGCACATCTGTATCTGCTGCTGATTTATGGTTTTTATTTTTGGGGAGATTTTTGAAGCCAATTTTTTCTTCCTCCTCTCTAACGTCAGCTGAACAATAGGCCGTCTGTTGTATTCATCTATCTTTATTTACGTCTTTCTTGGGTCTCATCTTAATAGAAAAGCATGACAGTATTTTCAGGACATTGACGTTGGATGTTCTGGATTTCTCTGGAGTTTTATCAAAGTTATATGATTGCCTTCAGGCGTTTGAGGCTCTTCCAGAAACTCGGAGGCGGTTTGGTTTCTTAGATCCATCTTCAATAAGGAGGAACGTTTCCGTCTCCTCAACTGAAAGTCTGATGTTGATTCACCCTTTTAGAGCAGGACTCTGAGTAACAGGATGCTGATTCATTCCAAAGACGAGTCCTGAACTATGAGTCCGAGTCACGTTTTACTGACATCATCGCCCCCTGCTCTGCATAGGACGAACCTCCAAACATGCAGTCAGTTAAATATCTGTTTACAGTCTGAACCGGGCCAGGTGGGGGTGGGGGTTCTTTGTGGCTGCTGATTAGATCTCAGGCCGGTGGAAACATGTTCTGCTTTCTCACTTTGCTGACAGAAGTGGAAATTTACTATCTAGTGAATCAGAAATTAGGATATTTCAGCTCTGGAGGCCCAACAGGTTTTCTGGTTCAGAACCTGTTGGATCAGCTTCTTAAACAGTCCAACAGAATCCAAATGGTTCTGAAGCTTTATTTGGACTCTGATTGTTTAGTTTTTTTTGTGTCCAGAACCGAGGCGTTTTAGTGGCCCAGTCAAAGTCCGGAGTCTGAATGAATGCCTGCAAATTTAAATGAGCTGAAGCAACGGACCAGAACTTCTCCAGGTCCATAAGAGCTGCAGGGTTCTGTTGTTTGGATGAACTGGAAATCATTTCAGAACCAATTTATTATCAGTGTCGTGATTATATTCCTCTGACCTTTTTATTATCTGAATAGATTCAGATTTTTTTATTTATTCAAACCATGTTATATTTAGTAGTGGATCAGAAATGGGTTTTTATTAGTTATTCTGGATCCATTTGGTTCAGGCAGAATCATTTCTTTATCTTTTATTTTCTTTCAGGCCAAATAAAAAGCCAACAGATGGATTTTCCGTTTGCCTTAAACCAGGTCAGAAACGACTAGATTCTGGTCCGAATTAGACCAGAACTAAATGACCCAATGTGTCTGGTGTTTGAATAGGACCTCTCCAGCCTGCTTTCAGTCCTGATGTCCTCTTCCTGTCTCTCTCTCTGTCTGTAATGGGACCACAGGGATATCATCGGATCCCGCTGCCGATAATGGAAGCTTTTAGAGCATAATGGTTGCTTGTTTTCACTCTTCTTCTTGTGTTTGTCGCTGCAGGCCAGGTGGAAGCTGAGCTCAGGGAGTTCAGTCCGTACTACATGAAGCAGTTCACCGTGGCCCGGTTTGCTCAGGTGGAGGACGAACTGGAGCAGAACAAGGAGAAGATCACACAGCTGCTGAAGCAGAAGGTTGGTGGAACGACTCGGCAGGAAGGAGTCGGCCCTTAATGGATGGGATGGGAACCAGCGGATGAATAAATGATGAGGATAAATGGAAACAGGCTAGTTCTGATTCCATGGAGGTCTTCATCAGTGTTCGTGCTGTCAGCTCTCTGAAAGCTGCAGTCTGGCCTTTGACTAGGCCACATTGTGTTCTGATGGAGACCCAGTTTAGGCTTTTTGGTCTATTTAATGATTCAAGCGTCTCAATGAGCCCAAATCATCAGCCTCCTCTGCTGTGCCTAACAGCTGGTGGGAGGAGCTTATTGCTGTTGGCGTTCTTGAGAAGCTTCATCCAGAAGGAGATTTAGCCAAAGTCCTGCTGCCATTTTCTTTATAGAGTAGATGTCTCCTTCTTCAGTCCTTAAAGCAGATAGGTTCAGGGCCATGACCTTTGACCTGAGGCCTGTAGGGTCTGAGTTTGAGCTCCTGGCTCTTTGATGGTTTCTCTGAGATGCGTGCTCTTAATCTTTCGTTTTTGGGTGTTCTCAGTAAAACATTTTCAGAACTGACTTTCTGGCTGATTAGTCAGAGGGTCCATCAAAGCTTTGTGTTCCTTCTGACCCAGTCTGTCGCCCTCAGGAGGCTCCAGAAGAAGGCATGGTTCTCTATGAAGAAGGTCTGCTTTACTTTGATGAAAACAGGAAGTGGAGGGAGCGCTACGTCGTGGTGAGAGCCAACTACTGTCTGGAGTGTCATGAAAGCCTGCAGGTGAGTGAGAAACGGCCATCAGAATCCATCAGGAAGTTCTGCTCATTTGGTTCTGACTCGGTTCCCGCTCTGCCCTCAGTCTTTTGTGAAAGGAGTCCCTCCGATTTACAAGCTGCTGCCTACAGGGGGCACTGTTTTGACCACAGAGGAGCGGTACATGGAAATGGTGGACAGCTGTTACCCTGACGACAACAGTGAGTAGAACCACTCATCCATCACAATATGGTGCAATGTCTTCACTACTGAGTCATTTATTCACTTAAGAAATATATTTCTAAAAAACAACTTTTTGAACAATAAATAAAAATTAAATCCATTATTTTCTGATAGATTAAATGTCCTATTTTTGTCTTTGAGATCCACCAGAACACCCCCCTGCATAGTTTCTTTTCTGTAGACATCATCTGCTGACCTCAGCAGGGCTGTGGTGAACCTCAGGGGTTGAATGCTCGCCCCCTCCCCTTTAGTTTGGCTCATTTATCACCATGATGCAGACGGTCGGTTCTATGCTGATGACGGTCAGATAGGACTAGTTTCTTCACATTTATTGATGTATATTCAGACTCCTCACTGACGCTCCACATCTGTTCAGTCTTATGGCTTCAGTTGCTGACAGCCTCACATCAAGTCAGAGCTAAACCTCGTTTTAATCCACAAAATCTGGCTTGAATTTATTTCTGTTTGAGCTGATCGGAAAACTTACCAGTTAATTTAGTTTTCCTTTGAAACGTTTCTAAACTCTGAATATTTCTCCAAACTAAATGAAGTTTATGCTTTGCCTAACACCATATGTTTGGTGGCGAAACTGTAAAACAGCTTTCAGGCTTTTCTGGTGTGCCAAATGAGCCTCCAATCTATCAAATGTTAAAATTTGTGTTATATTTATTCATGTCTGAGGGCTTAAAAATACAAAAAAAGCTTGTCTTCCTCTAAAGGACCAGAGCATTGTTATTAGGGATGGAACGGTTTATGAAAACCGTCCGAACCGTTCGTTTCGACTGCCTCGGTTCGGTTCGCGTGTGTTGCGTTCGGTTCATGCGCTGCTCCTTTTTCTCATAGGCGAAGCGTTTACACTCCAGAAGAGCAGAAGGTGGCGGTACTGCGACCAAAGCCAACCACCAGTAGTAAACAAGAAGAAGAAGAAGAAGCAAAGCAGCATAGCCCGGTGTAGCAGAAAAAAATCAGTTGTTGTGGAGAATTGTATGGGTATGGCGAGTGGGAAAGAACAGGAGTTGGAAGACGCGCCAGCAGCACTTTATAGGTCTGCTGTATGGGAGCGCTTTGCATTTAGAGTGACCTACGATGACAGCGGAAAGAAAGTTGTGGATAAAAACAGTGTGCAAGCATTATGCAACACGTTTTGTTTATGCTAACAGCAACATGACCAACATGTCAGGCTAAAGCCGAAATCCCACATCCTCCGTCAGCGCTCCGCTCCGCTGCGCACCAGACCGCCTGCACAAAGCAAAGCCTACGGCCTCCGCTGTGGCTCTCTTTCTGAGTTCCTTTGAGATCGTAGAGGGCATGCGCGAGATGATTAAATTCAAAGCAGCAAAACATGCGGATCCAGGGTTTCCGCGGATCATTTAAAATAATTACAATTCATAATTTTTAATGGATTTTTTCATTAATTTTCTGGGATTTCGCGGTAATCAACATATACCGAACCCATGTGGGTTGGTGAGTGGGCCCCTGCTATTTAATTTTGGAGTGGGTTCTTATTTTGTTTTATTATCGTATTATTTTTTTTTGTGAATACTGCTTATCAAGACTTTGATGCAATAAACTGTGAGTTGCCTCTATCCACTATATAAAATAAAAATGCCATACCATTATTCAAGCTTTTTTTATTAAGTCAAATGGAATAAGAATTTTACAGATTAAATCAGACGCATAATACACACACAATATAATACAGATTATAACCAGTTGAGAAAGTGTTATACATCAAGAAAAAAAAAAAGGTCCCATAACAAATGTTCTTCCGCTGAGCAAGAAGTGGATCTAGTGGGAAAAGGAGGGAGAAGGAGGGACTTGAGGGACCTGTCTGGCCTGTCTATTTCCTCCCCTGCCCCTTGATCCAATCAGCCATTTGGAAACTGCCCTCTCCACATCCTTCCTGGTGATCTGGCTGGTTAAGGCGTTCTTCTTTAAAGCTCCTGCAGGAACATGAATATGTTATGGTTACTTCATGTGCCAACACAACTCTCAGCAAGGATTGTAAAGTCAACTATGTTGAAGTGATATTCACCCAAAACTGATCACTTTTATATCAATCACTCAAGGTTTAAATTGTAATTATGGGTTAAGTATCCCTTTACATTATTGACTTTACAAACCTGCAAATGTCAGAATGAACTGGGGAAAAGCAAAGAAAAAACAAAGATCAAAATTCAATGCCATCTGGCCATGGCTGTCACATTTTTTTGTAATATCTGGCTTTAATAACCCAATAACCATTACAAACCAAGTGATAATAAAAACAAAATTTACATTACTGAACTGAAGGGAGAGTCAAACTGGGTCCTTTTTAAACATAAACTTAAAGACTTTTTATTGAGAGGTCAGTCATGTGAACATTAATAACCTAACTGACCTGATTTTATTTCTGTGATGTTTTAATGTGTTATTTGCTCTGTTGTTCTTGTGTACAGTCACTGTGTTTGTGTAAAAGCCTAACTGGGGACAGACATTGAGAATTAGCCTTAGCTAAAATGTTGTAGTGTGTGACATGATGCATGAAACATACTTGTCCCTATCAAATAAACGAATAAATAAATAAATAATTTTTTTTCATAAGAACGGATAACTGAAAGATCTGTGCAAGAAAATCTTGAAAACATTTACTTTTCCGATAACATTTCTGGAGCACCTCTTTTAAGGGGACATTTATGTCCTTGAGGTGAGCGTATTATTGCACCTTAGAAAATCCCAATTACATTAAATTAAGCTTTCTAGCCAAAAATGCCATTTCAAGTCATACAGTAATAACCATAGCCAATAAATGAGTATAAATTTCTCTCGACAAAAGTTACTGTATTACAGTTATAATCCATTATGCACTTACCAAATATGACTTCAAACAGCTTTAAAGTCCTGAACTCCCGCTTTCCATTCCGGTCCACAAAGTTATACTGTCTGAAAAGGTCATGGTCCATGATGAAGACCATCATACGTCTTGTGGCCTCATCCACAGTGCTCCCTCCAATGTCTGCCACTGCTGTGACCTAAGGGGGAACAAAGTCAGTACAAAGTAAAATCTTTGTTTTTTTTTTGCAGCTTCTTATGGCTCGCTTTTATTGACAGTAAACTGACAGGAAATAGATTAATGTATAATTGTTAAGTATTTCAACAATTAATCGATTTTTTGCTATAGTAATAAAATGTTAAAACATTTTGAAATATGTTGGTGCTTCTCAAATCTCTTGTTCTGTCCACAAAACAAAGAGATACTCGGTTTATGGCCAACAAAGAGGAACGAAATGTTCTTATTTAGGAAGCTGAAATAATAGAATTAGGATTTTTTGGCTTTAAGAAAGCTATAAGTGCCAATTAATAGAATTATTGATTACTGTTCAATTTATTGATGATTTGTTTCAGATCAGATCAGATTTACTGCCAGCCCCCCAAATAAAACTGAATGAAATTTCACTATAGACTTTACATACATACCAGTTCAGACATGAAGCTTGGGTCAGACAGTTTTTCCTCCATTACCTCGACCTCCCCTACTGTCTTTAGGGGGAAACTATCTGGGATGACAGAAAGGGTGTCACCACTGTTGCCACGCTGTGCCATAGTTTGTAGCATCCTTCCATGAACTCTTAGGGTTTCTTTGACTTCCTCAAGGACTTTCAGGATGTGAAAAAGGACATTGTCATAAAAAACATCAGTGGAATTTCCGTCTTCATGATTACTTGATAAATTGTCATCGCAAGCATCGTAGAAAGTGTCCATGGAATCTGTTCTCAGAATTAACTGCCAACAAATCAGTCGGCTCCTTTTCGTGCATAAGATAATGCTCCTCCACTTTTGCCAATATTTGCCTTTGTGTTCTTTCTGAATGATTACTTGATAAATTGTCCTCGCAAGCATCAGAAGTGTCCATGGAATCCATTTTCTCAGAATTATCTGCCGACAAAGCCATAGACTCCTTTTCGAGCACAAGCAAATGTTCCTTCACTTTTGCCAATATTTTCCTCCTTTTTGTTCTTTCTGAAGTCTCCATGATTTCTAAGAAAAAAAAATGTTTTAGGTTTCAGCTATGATAAACACAGGATGACAAACTCCAGCCAACAACCGCAAATGATTTGGTTAGAAAATGTGTTTCTGTGGTTAATCACAGATCTAAGTCCATGTTAAGTGAAGCTAGATTTGTTTTGAGTATATTGCATCACAGCGGTGACTAGACTAATTTGTGCATTATAAGGTGGAGGGATTTCAGCTGGTTATATGCACTGCACCGTCACTTATTTAAGACCCAAAAAGCGACTTCACTTTCAGAAACAAACCCAAAGAACAGCAACGCGCAAATAGAGAAGGAAAAAAAAGTACAACTCAAAGTTGTATGAGTCAGGCTTGGAAACAGTAAGCGCGGGTCACTGGAACTACCACGTCTAGGGAAAAGAAACAAAAAGTCCAGAGAACGCGGCGTGGTCTATTCACGGCCCTTTTAACTTTCAGTCACATACCTACTGCGAAAAAAAAAAAACACTAAACAGCCCAAGTAGCTATGGTCTAATAGTGCAAGTCCAGCTCTGATTCCCTTAAGACGGTAGAATGTGCCGCAGAGCCGAAGCTCCGAGCCGACGGCGGTAGCAGTTGGCGCGGCCTAGCCCTCAACAACGTTGCGGTCTCAAACCTGTAGCATTCTCTAAACTATGCCTGCAGCAGACACTTTAAACTAGTGATGTTATGAGATGAGCCGAGGCTTCGAGGTGTGTGTCGAGTAATGGAGGGGGCGTTTCCCCGAAGCGCGTGTCAAGGCGTGATTCATTTAGAGGCTGGGCCAAAATTAATGATGTCCGAGGCCTCACTACCGTGATACCACGTGACCGCTTCGGGAAGTGGTTCGGGAAGCGCAAGAATTTTGACAGGCATCTAAACAGCCTTAGTGTTCAGTCAAGATGTGGGAGTTTGGAGGAGAGCTGCTGTCAGCTGGATAAAGTTTGGATAGATTCTAAGAATAGATTGG